AGGCGCCAGGTGGTGATAGGTAGCAACAGTGGCAATCAGTAGGAGTAGCAGTAGCGGTAGCGGTAGCAGTAGAGTAGGAGTAGCAGTAGCAGTAGCAGTAGCAGTAGCAGTAGCAGTAGTAGTAGTAGTAGAAGTAGCAGTAGTAGTAGTAGTAGTAGTAGCAGTAGTAGTAGTAGTAGTAGTAGTAGTAGTAGTAGTAGTAGTTGTAGTAGTAGTCATAGCAGGAGGCGGAGGATGAGGAGTAGGAGTCGCAGTAGTGGCGGTGGGTGATGGTAGTGTAACGGCAGTGATAGTAGCAGCCGCAGTAGCAGTCTCGTGGCAGTGGTAGTGCTCGACATCGTCGTGGTCGTCCCTGTCGTCGCCGTATGAGTCGCAGTAGTCGCCATCGTTGAATTGGCAAACAAGCCGTATTGAACCTTATCCCGAGCAGGACGAATGAAGTAAGGTACTCCTCACTGTAAGGTCATGCATGGCCAACATTCTGCCTTTCGTCTGCCGCACGTCGGGTGCCCGAGCACCCGCATAATATCACGCGTGGACTGAGCTACGTCAAAGGATCACGCCACACCTTGCACAGCCGGCGAAGAAGTCCGTACAAAATCGCCTTTATTTGGGGGTTTCCGAAAATAGGGGGCCCTAATATAGTACCCTAATTAAATAGTAGGATCCTGATTATTAGGACCCCAAAATAAGGTACCCTTGTTTTCGGAAACTCTCATTTGTGTGTGGGGTTGTGCTCGAATCAAGCCGAAAGATCACTCGCAGTCAGGACTCCTCCCGCCCCCCACACGGATCGGGGCACCTCCGAGGGCTGCTGCCACGGCGAAGCCCCCGGTGTAGCCTTCGTCCGTGGCTGGGTTTGTGGATTTCGGGAACCGCCGGGATCATGGACTTGAATGAATCTGTCCGATCCAAGGGTTCGGATGTCGGGCACATGCACTTCAGTCTCCGGAATAGGTTGTCTCCAAGAAGCTGAAGAGATCCAAAACGTCCTGCAGTCAAAGTGGCAGTTGCGGCATGCACTTCGGGCCTTTGAATCAGTCTTCCACTGCTGCTTGGTCGGAGAAGCAGCAAGCTGTTGAAGGTGGATCTTGCTCCTATGGGCCTATGGGATTCGATCCTTTATAGGTCCGGTGCCGAAGGGCACAGCAATTCGACCGCACCAACAACCAATAGCAACTAGCACGTTCGTCACCATCCTGGCTATCAGTGCGACATTCACCTACAACATCGCCAACACCGCCAATCACCACCACCATCATCACCACCTTTTTCTTCTTATTCTCAATTTGGAATTGGCAGCGCTATGATTACTACTGCTTGCTAGTGCTCGTTATCGCAATCATAGCTCTCGCTCTTCTTATGATTATGACGATGAGTCAGAGACTAAACATGAAAGTCACACCAAGTATGAACTCTGACTATGATTACACTGAACCATTGTTTTCACCAGCATCACTCACAACCTAAACTCTGAACCAGAAACCTGAAACCCAAACACCCTAGTCTGTAAATCCTAAACCCTAAACCCAAAAACCCTAATCCGTAAACCCAAAACCCTAAATCAAGAACCCCAAGCCCATGCGCGCAAAGAACCCCAAGCCCACACATTGGGAGCGCGTCCTTCCCGGCTGCCAGCTCCCTAAGGCGAAGCCTCAAAGGCCATCTTCGTCGGTCTCTGGGCCTTTTGCCCCACTTTGCCCCGGGTTCTGAGGATGAAATCGTATTATTTGAAGGGCTCTTGATACTCTCTTGTGGGTGTGGTTTCTTGGTGGGCTGAGGGCCTCAAAGGCTCCATCAACGCCTCTTGATACTCTCTTTCGCAGGTGACAGCTCTCCATCATGCAGCTATTATATTCCGCAACCATGCGGCCGATTGGGGCGTTGGTCCAGGAAGAAACCCGTCTTGTGGCCGTGCCAAACGTCAACCTTTGCAGCTTGGATGCGTGGGCATTGTCTTGCAAAAAGCATCAAGACGGGCGAACTGCCTCATACATGACGCCGTTCTCCTCGAAGCTGGAAGCTTCTTTTGAGGGCGCAGTTCCCCACAGCGTCTCGGTGCCGTCCTTGTTGATCCTTCGTATGGAGAAGCAGTGGCTCAAAACACCTGCGATTCGTGCTAACCCTTGCCCACCTTCCGTGAACGATGCCAGACATAACTAGTAATTAGTCTGACGGCGAGTGTCTGAACGACCATTGCCCAACAGGAATGCAAAAGAGCTGCTGAAATCATCCAAAGTGCACGCCGGAGAGTTTGTATCCTGAGGTCTCAGAACCCCTTTGTCATAACTTACAGCAGGGCTGACAGACATGACTGGCCTGTTCATTCACTTACTCCTAGCCTCCATACTGACCCACTTATTCAATCAGGCAGACTGCTGCGTGTGCAGCTCAGTAACCAGCTTCGCCGAAGGCATCGATGATGATGGGCAACCTGTCTCAACGGCACGAGAATGCAGCAAGAGGCCAGTGAAACAGCACAAGGCCTTGCAGCAAAAAATATCAGTAGCAATCCAACAAGCCTGCAGATGCTTGTCCTAAATACTTACTGGCACTTGGACTCTTGAGGCCCCGAAAATGACCAGCTTCATCCTCCTATGCTTACCATTGCTTATCTTGCGAAATCACCCCGACTCTTCCATGAAGAACTTCTCGACTGAGTGGTGCAAGGGTTCTGAAGTGTCCACTTCTACATCGGCTGTACCAGGAACATGAAGCTTCGCTGAGGCTGCACAGACTCATCACATCGACACTACACTATTCTTCTTTTTCTCTTTCTTAACTTTTCTTCGACTAGTCGAAATATTGGTAACATGATTCTTGAAGTTATTGATTCATACTCGATCCTGAGACGCCGCCTGGGGCGCCAGAAAGCCTCCGCCCCGGCCCCATCGAAGGCGCAAACCGCGCGGTCGCCGTAGGCGTCGAGGACCAGGCCGGGTGTCCAATCGGCCTCCTAGGGGTTTAGGCTTTAGGGGTTTAGGGGTTCAGGGGTTTTGGGTTAGGGGTTTAGGGTTTAGGGGTGTAGGGTTTCGGGGTTTAGGGGTTTCGGGGTTTAGGCTTTAGGGGTTTAGGGTTTAGGGGTTTAGGCTTTAGGGGTTTAGGCTTCAGGGGTTTAGGGTTTAGGGGTTTAGGGGTTTAGGGGTTAAGGGGTTTAGGATAACAAACAGAGCAATAACAGCATGAAGAAACGTAGAAATACTAAAAGCTAAAAAGCAATGTCTGATATCAGCAACTTCTTTTCATTCATGATATAGGATCTATCAAGCATGAAGAACATACTGTAACAAACATGGTGTAAACGATATTTAACAGTACCATGTCGTCATCACATAAATATATGAGAAACAAAAGAATATACAGTGACCAGTAGCAACAAGCAGTGATGGAACATAAGCAGCACGTGATACTAAGCAACAATGAAGAGCACCAGATACGAGTATCTACGAATCAGCAATAGGAGACCATGCATGCGAAAACATAGCTTGTACACAAGCTTCCAAATCAAGACAAACATCAGCAACCCAGATGCTCAATCTAGAAACATAGTAACCAAGACCTAAGACATCCGTTTAAGGAGGCCGTCACAAGATTCGAAAGGCTCAAACAAAATTCACAATACTTTCAAAATCTGAACGAGATTTTAATCGCTTATTTCAACAGATCTGAAACGTCTTTAAATTCGCTCAGGGAGCGCGGGGTCTCCCCCCGGCCCCCTTGGAAGGAAGGGGGCAGCTCGGAGGGGGCAAGTCCTCGATGCAGAAGGTGCGGGGGGCCCCTCAAAACCGTGGCGAATGTTTGAGACTCTGGCGAGATTCGATAAGAGCTCCCGGTGTCTTGGAATGATTTTCCGGCAATCACAAGAACCCTAAACCCCTGAACAACCCGACTGTAATTCCATCGAGGGTCCCCGTGCAGCAGCCGCAATCCGCTCGAGCACCGCAACGTTGCATCCTTCTGGCGCCTTGCGGCTGCCCGGCGGGCGATGTCTTGGGCCCAGGAAGGGTCGCCTGGCCGTTCAGGGCTTCGTGGCAAATGGCTTTGGGATTGATGGTTGGGATGGCGTGGCATGGCATGGTATGGCGTCAAGGGATGGGACGGCATGGGGGTGGGGGTGGGATGGTAGCTTCTTGGCAACTGACGTCTGCGAGGGGGGATGCTTGCAGCGGAGGGCTGGAGGTGTTGGATGGAATTAGAGTTGAAGGTTGAGGCAACTCAAAGTTGCAAGTTGCAAGTGCAGCATGCAAACTTATTCGCCTGGCATGGGCGGGCCATCCTCAGGCCACCACAGCAGGCGGACCTCGCCATCCACACATCGGAACCCAACAGGGTCACCGCAAATTGCATGGTGCAGCTATCAGCATCGAATCTCTCCAATGCGTGAAAGCTGCCCGGAGAGGTGACGTTGGGTCATGAAAGCCATATGCCAGCATCTGCTTCTTCCAGCAAACTGCCACAATCTCCCCAGCTGCGATCCTTGCTCTTACAAGCTCGAGCAAAGGAATTCAGCCGCAGCACTGTAAGGTGGTGAGAGCAAGTGCAGGAATAGTCCTCAGAACAAGCCTAAATACACTTGCGTCCACACTATCCAAGACCCTCGACCTTGTCAACATTTGGGAAAATTTGGGCCAAAAAGTCAACAGTCGCCATCAACGGATGTATTCGCGGAGATGTGATGCGAGTGATCTGCTCAAAGAAAGCCCCCCCGAACACATCGAACTAGGGATCCGTAGGTTTAACAAGACCCATCAAAACGAGAAGCTATCGTTTCTGGAGCCCAGGGCCAGGAAATTGACTTCAAAACAGCCGGTCGAGATGCCCCGGCTGGTTTCGAAGCGCCCGGTCGTAGAGCCAAGGGTGCTTCTTCTTGGTCACTGACTTTCGCAAGTCCTCGCTCTAGAACCAGACTCTGCAAGTGCTCAGATGCGCACGTCTGGTTTTGGTCACCAAAAAAGGCTTCTTTGCATCGTCCATTCTAGTCGCTGCTTCTGGAAAAAATCTGTCCATGTTCATGGTGATGACGATGGTGATGATGTTGCTGTTGCTGTTGCTGTGTGGTGATGGAGGTGGTGTTGGTGATGGTGGTTGTGTCGTTGTCGTTGCGGTTGTCGTTATTGTCGTTGTTGTTGCTGTTGTTGTGGTGGTGGTGGTGGTGGTGGTGGTGGTGGCGGCCTTTGCCATTGCTATTGCTGAAGCCATTGTTGCTATTGCTGTTGGTGTGGCCACAGCTCTGGCCGTTGGTGTTGCTGCTGCCGCTGGCAGCGGCAGCGGCTGAGGCTGAGGCTGCGGCTGCTGCGGCTGCTGCTGCCGGTGCTGGTGTTGGTGCTGCTGTTGTTGTTGTTGTTGTTGGTGGCGGTGTTGGTGTTGGTGTTATTGTTGTTGATGTTGTTGTTGGTGGTGGT